TATATGGCCAACCAACATGTGGGGAGGTAATCCCAGCTATTAAGGTAATCTCCTCAGTATGACGATCAATAGGGGAGGGTGTGCGGCGACTACCAGACAAGAGTAGCGGGGGGACAAAATTTGTGCTAAAGAAAAATGATTTAATCATCCAGATTAGGTCAGGAGACTGGGGTCTGGACAGGGGCTTGTTGCTGGGAAGGGGGAGGGGTGCAGACAGAGCAGACAGGAAGATGTGAGGGGTAAGGCCATCTCCACTTTGGGCCGATCCCTCGTGTGACAATGGGCTGCAACATTTTGTTTTCCTTAATCTGGGGGGAGTGGAAAGAACAAAGATACAGCTTTACAGTTCTATGTGTTGATGTACCAGTGTGATGAGGAAGAAAGGGAACCGGTGTAGATTGAGGCGGTAGAAATGTTTAAACGAAGAAACGTAATGTGTTCTGGCTTTGTTAAAACCTCAGGAGGAACTGGTGATTGAAACAGGTCAAAGTCATTGTGCTGCGGTTTACTGCACACGCATTTTAAAGCAGTTCAAATACAGCATGTTCCAGTGGCTCACGTGCAAAATATCTTGTGTATTTAAAAACAAAGTCAAAGATATGCCACTGAATTACACTAATTACATCAACAAAATGAGTTCAAGACCTCAAAAACCTTAAAAGCATTGAACTGTAATACCTTTATGTCTTAAGATAAAACTGCACTTTCTGTGGTCAAAATGAAAGCACCTGAACAGGTTGGATTCGTATCATGTTTCAAGCAGTAAAAATGACACCAAATGTAGCCGCACAGTCTCACAAGTCTGCAGTATCTGGGAATCTGCCACTAAAGCGGTGTGTGTGCATACGTGTGCACATTCTTGCTGAGTGTGCGTCCTCTCTTTCTGATGTTAGAACCAGCAGAGCATACACATGGACCACATACTGGATTCAGTGTAATGTTAACATACGCTAGCTGACTCTCTCATGTTGTGTTTGTTTGCATGGAGTGTGTTGTTCAAGGTACCCGGGGCCCAAAATATGAAAACAACTTAAAGTGACTACACGTAAAGAGGTGGGAATGGAAGCACTCCTAAAGAGGTATTTGTTGACACGACAAAAAAAAAAGATTTATGTAGTTGCTGTGTCATGCCATGGACATGAAAATGATTCACTTTTGTTGACTTTGTAGAAATCACTGGTGTCAGATTTTTTCTATGTTATGTCATCGTACACTGAATATGTTTTGGGTTTTGGACGATTGGCCGGCAAAACAAGACTTATGTCAACTTGTGGCGTGCATTTTTAGCTACTTCCTGACATTTTATAGATCAAACCATTAAGCAGGAAATTGGCATTTTAATCAGAAATAACTTAATTATGGCCATAGATTTTAGTCATGTAAAGATACATTCTGTCAGAATATAACAAAACAATCTCAAATATGTTTTAAAAATGAAAAAATAACTAACTGTAGGATCTACTTTAGTGTCCCTGCTGGGGTTGAGTAGTGACTACCTAATTGGTGAAACATTGCAGGTTTTTTCCTTCAGTTAATCAGTCATAAGGCTCTATTTAATAATTATTTAACACTATCTAATAATTCTAATGCACTCGTTACTCCTCAACACTCCTTAAAAACATATTAATCAGTTCTCCGGTGCTCAATGTATTGATAAATTACTCTTATTGGCCTCAGTGTGGGTGTGCATGAATCGCAGTGTTACAGTACTAGAGGGCTTGGTCTTCAATGACTGTGATGAATGCGCCTTCCATTGTTTATTCCAACACGACTTGCTGTTGTATTGTAGTCTAATCAAAGTAAGGTACTGGCTTAATGTAGAGCAGCAGTCCTCTCTGATCACAAAGCAGCTGACCTTTGTTTGTTGTTTCGCCAACCAAAACAAAATATTACTGCAGTTAAGTACTGAATGAGTTTTGTGATGACTCAAATAGGTTACTGGAGGAAAAAAAAAAAAAAAAAAGAAAGACCTTGCCCTTTAAGTCTGCAGTGGAGGAACAGGAGTGCAGACATTGGCAAAATGTCCAGATGGAAGATGGGAGGGATGAGTAAGGCGTTCACAGATCCCTTCTGCCTGGCCCCATTGAGACAGAGGGAGACGAGATTGGATGGGTCTGAGGGAGTCAGGTTACTATCGGCCCATTCTACTCCAAAGAAGCGCTGGTGTAAAAGATGCAATACCCCTATGGGAAACCTAATCCAGACCCTGCTGCCAGCTGTCATTCTTCTGCTCCAGGGTAAAATCGCTAAGTAGGTATCGCCTTACCCTTCAATCCTTACATTAATCATAGCAGGAAATTACACACACATGTTGTAGTGTACTGCAAATCAACATTGTCTTTGTAATTTGAGAATTTTGATCTCATGCATTGATAAAGAGCTACATATCAAAAAAGAGCAATCCTATTTTTAGACCAGAGTTTGCTGTATGTTGCTGTAGGTTTATAGAAATGATCAGTTTCAATATTAACACATCAAGTATTAAGTTTTGGCATTTGGCTAAAATCAATACCAGATTCTTATCCAAATCACAGAGGAGAAATGTAAAGGATCAAACTGTTGACGACATACTTTAAATTGTGCTTTGTGAGTGAAGAAAATGATTTGTATTAGAAATTTGTGTAAGAGTTTATCGTAACATTTGCATTTAATAGTTTGAGAGCACAGCTCACAGTCCACGTTGAAGATTAATTAACCTGATCAGAATAGATCAAGAGTCCGCCATGTTGAACCGCCATGTTTCTACAGTAGCCCAGAATGGACAATCTAAACACTGGCTCTAAATGGGGCCTTTCATGTTTTTCACAAGTTTTGAGGCCACAGTAGTTTCTCCTCCACACATGAAAGGCGAGTAGTATTTAGCTGCAAACTACAATTTAACACCTAGATGCCACTAAATCCTACACAGTGGTCTTTTAAATGTGAATTTTTTTTTTACTTTTCTGTGTCGGTAAACTGAATACCGTGGTTTTATAAACTGTAAAGCTGCAAAAAATATTGATATCAGATTGGGCTCTGGTAAATTGTGAAGCCCATTATTCATTATTTTAGAGTGTTTTGTAGACCTAACAATTAACTGACCAATTGAGAAAAGAATCAACAGATTCATAATCAAATTAATCAACCAAATTGATAGCAATTAATCTTTAAATGTGAAATTATTGACAAGTCTCAGTCAAAGCCAAAATCAAGAATCAAAATCACTGTGACTCAAACTGAAGGTGTCATCAGGGTTTGAAGAATAAACCAAGCACTATTATCACAGTCTCATTTTTCAGGTCAGAAAACGTATGTGCAAGACTGTTTCATACTCTAATCTCACTCTAATCTAACAAACAGTGTGGGTGAACTCAGTTTTCTGTGGCATCGAGCTTTGGAGGAGGACATGTGCCATAATGTAATGTATATTTAATCTGTGTTAATCTGTCATGTTTTCTTTTGCATTGGCAGCGTGATCTATATTTAGGTGCGAGGGAAATGAATGAATGAATGAGTTGAAATTTACACTTGACAGAGGTAAGCAGGTCGGACAAAAGACGACAGGAAAACTGATCAAGTGAAAGACGGCAAGCAGAGTGATAGAGAGACATAAAGGGAGACAGTCGGAGCGAGTCTGAGCTGACCTTGCCAT